AGTAACTGACGATGATAAAAAGTTAAAGTTAATGACCATTTACCATAATGACCCCATAACAGGCGGAATTAAAAAACTATATGCAAAATTACGTACAAAATATCACTGGAAAAATATGACCCGTGATATATCCAAGTTTGTTGAAAATTGTTCAAAATGTTTATTAAACAAAGTTAAACCTAAAAACAAGGAAAATCTTATTTTGACGCAAACACCTTGCAAACCTCGATACATTAGGACCCCTACCAGAATCAAATAATGGTAATAGGTTCGCAATTACCATTATATGCGATTTACAAAGTATTTAGTAACAGTAGCTGTGCCAGATAAAAGCGCTAAAACTATTGCATCTGCCATTTTCGAAAGTTTTGTCTTAACTTACGGTGTAATGAATTCCATTAAATCAGACTTAGGCACCGAATTTAAAAATGAAATTTTCACTGAATTAACCAAACTTTTAAAGGTTAAACANACCGAATTTAGAAATGAAATTTTTTCCGAATTAACCAAACTTTTAAAAGTTAAACACGATTTTTCAACCGCACACCATCATGAAACTGTGGGTACTATCGAACGTAACCACAGAGTTTTTAATGAATATTTACGCGCATATTTAAATGAAACATTTTCCGATTGGGATGTTTATTTAAAATATTTTACATTTTTGCACAACACAACAACTAACACAGTTTTCGATAATAAATTTTCCCCTTTTGAATTAATATTTGGGAATAAGGCAACAGTGCCTCAAGATTTGAAAAAAGATAAAATTTACTCGATTTATAATGTAGAAAATTACACGAAAGAAGTTAAATATCGAATGCGAAAGTCGCACAAAATCGTTAAAGAATTAATTAATAAACACAAAATTCGAAACAAACTAATATTTGATAAAACGGCGCGTCCGTTATCAATTAGCGTTAATGACAGGGTTCTTGTTCAAAAAGAACCACGCAATAAGCATGAAAACATATACCAAGGCCATACGTTATAACAAAAATTCACGGTGTAAACGTCACAATTTTTGATGAAGCAAAAAACAAAGAAAAAACAGTACACAAAAATAGAATTCATAAAATAAAATAATACAAAATTTTCTTGTATATGTATATACGTATATATAATTACCTTTAATTTTTCTTTTTATTATCAACTAAAATAAAAATTGTACAAAAACAAAAATAATAATTTGAAATGTATACATTTTCAATATGAAAATTACCTCAAAAAATATATATATTTTTCCACAAAATTGTAATATAGGACTTTGTTCCAAAATATGAAATGAATTTATTAAACCAAAAACATTTTTCATACATTGTTAAAATTATAACTCAGAAAATCTAAATACAAATATTAAAACAAAAAATTTAAATTCCATTTTTCATAAGCAATTAATATGTATTTATGTAAAATTCAATCAAATAGCCTCATAAGCTATTCACGAAAATAATTACTTAATTTTATTTTACAAATACGATACTTTGCCAATTAAACAACTTTTAATAAATAAAATAACTAATAATAATTAAGTAAATACAATAGCTTTTAATTAAATATCTAATATTTACCAAAACTTAAATTGATTTGAATGAACGAATGAAAGAGGGAGGAATATCCCCTAAGCATTTCTTAAATTCGTTCCTTCAAAACAATTTAATTCTGATTATAAATTTTGGGCAAGAAGAATATGGCAAAATTGATCACTTCTTTTTCCAAAGGAGGGTGATGTAATGCGATAAAAGCATATAATTTGCAACCCTACTGAATTACTACAAACTACCTTATATGAATACGCCCTAGGCTAATCTAGTACAATTAAGAACTTAGAATTTCCGATATTTGAATGCGACCCTGTCATATGTATGACAGCTGCTAGGCTTATGTCAAAATGTGAAAAATATATTGGCGGCATTCGCCCGCGTACTTCAACTCGAACACAAGTACTTTTCTTTAAATTAAATTCGACCTGCTAGCCACCAAGGCATCGGGTGCAGTCAGCAGCTTCGGGCAACAAACGTTTGCCTGCACCAACTCAGCCCCAAGTAGGCGTTGGCCGGCATCAGCGCCGGCGGAGCACCAGGGCTCCGCGTGAATTCAGCAGGTACGCCCGTTGAATTAACGAAGTGGAATTTTACCACTTCGACATATGCTGAAAATTTCAAGTCTCTAACTTGTCGGGAAGTCAGTTTAAAATCGATTGGAAATTTGCGCGATTTGCGCGGGATGACCAAGTTAAATAAAAGCTTATAAAAAGTCGAGGGTCGACAGTGGAAAGTCGACTTCAATCGACTTCCATACCTGAAACTCGATCATTAAAAGTCTACTTTTAGGAGTAAAAAGTCGATTTTGGTCGAAAGTCGAACTCGACTTTACCTTCCCTAATTGATGGATTGATGGATCGCGCACGAATGCTACATGCTCAATAATTATCGCGTCAGTATTTGCATAATTTTTGTGCTGAACGCTTATTATGATGCAAGAAAATATTTTTATTTTGTATGAATAATTTGCAGATCCACAATTATTTTAAAATTTCCCATGTTAGGGCGTGTGTGAATCGGTAACAAAGTTCTATGGGGAAAGCTGTTGAATAATATTTTTACTATGGTGAGACAGTTTTGCCAATCTGCTGTGTGAAATGAAATCTTTTTTGACAGCAGTAAATTTTTGATAACCGCAGATTTATGCGCAATAAACTAATACAAATTGAGTGAAATTAATATTTTAAGAAAACATCTACCATCATTGATTGCAGTTTATCAACTTAAGCTTTTATTTTACGAAAAATTACACACAGCAGCAATCTTTGCAATTGTCAAAATTTTCTATGCATTTGTCAAAAATTTTACTAGCTTCATGGGCTACTGAAATTTTATTCACCTCAAACTTATCAAAAATTTACTTGCCGCGAACTTTGTTACCGATTCACACACGCTCTTGATTAAAAATTTTTTAATTTGTTTTGAAAGGTTTTAAGCAACGAGAACGAAAGCATACCGAATGCGTTCTCGATCTTCGCATTATGACAGTACAAGATGTACTGACGAAATGTATGGATCCCGTTTTGTAAGTGCTACACGGTCAATATATATTGACAATATTGCGATCCGCGATCCAGATTTTAAAAATTTTGCGATATGGATCACGATCCATCAATACTGCATGCTACACCGTCAATAAATATCGCGATACTTGGATCACGTCAATAAATACTGACCGTGTGACAGTGCCCATTAGCTCCAGCTAAAGGCTGGTTTTCATTATAGGGCATTCGCACGAGGCGATTTTACAGGCAACTTTTAGTTGAAAGCAAAAATCGCCTCGTCCGAACGGCCTTTAAACTAATCGCTTTCAACAAAGTTGGTCGCCAGCCAACTTTGAGCTCGTTCAACTTTTTTTCCTTGCAACCCTGTGTTTGTTTACATTCTGTATCAGTGTTGGGATATGAAATTGTTCCTTCAGTACGAAATCTATACAAAAAATGTACTTTTCGGCTATAAATTGTATACACTTTTTAATTCGCTCATATATTTTCTTAGTACATTCCCTTCAAGACCAATGATTTTATGGTATTCATGAGAAAGTTTTATTGTTTATGTACATACGTTTACGTATTTTACACTTTTACAAATTGATTCCACGTGCACATGTATTGCATTTAACGCAAATATGTATGCACACATTTTCAGGTATACATCTTAACAAAAAGCATATTTAAGTTATTATTAATGGATAAAAGAGACATTTTCTTTGGATTCAGTACTAAAATTTGACATTTTAATAGAATTTCAAGTGCTTATCAAAACTTTACGAGAAGATTTGACCATTTATCTTAATATTATTCAATTTTAATTATTTTTTGTAAAAATACGCTTTATATTTTAAGAAAAGCCGTACAAATCCAAGGTTCAAACTTTGTGCAACATTAAAAAAACCAACACACTTTCGTAAAAATTTCGATCTATTTAATTCGATTTCCTAGATTTATTTTGGGTATGTGGTTTTTTAGCCCATTAAATTTTTATATAACTAAGTTTTTTAAGATTTCTTTGATGAAGGTGTTGCTAATTTCCTCCATATAAAAAAATCGTCGAACACACTTCGTATGGAAGAAAATGGCTGACATCGTCGACAAAACAAAATTGCCAAGTTCAACGGTAAGTCCCAGCTACTTTAAACTTGCACTTTATTATACTAAAATTGAATGGGCTAAAAACTAAAGAATATTAATAAAATAAATAGTAAAACCTTGTCAATATGTGAGTGCCGTAAAGGTATTATATTTAAGAAAATCTCTTCTTATAACTAACGAAGACTTTGTTTCTATATGAAGCTGACTTTGACATTTTGTTTTAATAAAACTTAGTAACGAAAAGTTTCTTTAAAAATTTGCCTAGGCTATGTTATACTGGTTCGTTCAAGCCATTTTTTAAAACTTACAAAGGTAAATACGAACAGGCGAACTGTGAATTTTCAGAGCTATATATTTTTAGTATTCATTACAAAATTTTACTAAAAAGTACTGCGTAGTAGGAAAGTATATTGTAAATGAAATTTTATCAAACAAGTACAATTGTACCAAAACTGCCAACACTGTTCTGTATACACACTTTTTTTTCTTTTTTACTTTTTTACTCTTATTTTATCTATCAGCTTCGCTAAAAGCACTTCTACTAACGCTTGGCTTACCAAATTTACGCCAATTAATAAAATTTTGCGATTTAAATTCATTTTCAATAATGTAAATAACGATTCGTGTTGAATCCAAAATCGCCTCGTCTGAATAGAGATGGCAACTTTTTCACTTTCAACTTCTCATTCAACTACGTATTCAACTTTTGTTGCCTGTAAAATCGCCTCGTGCGAATGCCCTATTAGGTCAAAATCACTGGCATCAAAAATTGCCTTCATCTGACAACTGTTCATTTGATGTCAAATGCGTTTTCATTACAATTTAAAAACTGACCAAATGGCAATACCGCAGTTCATGTCAAATGCTTGGTTTTCATTACGTCAATTTGATTGACAACATAAACTGCCTTCTCTGCCATCGTCGTCATATCTTGCTGAAAGCGTTTTCATTCAGCTCCATGAACTGACATAAAAGCGTTTGTCAATGATTGTAGACAAATCTTGGGGTCAATCGACTGACATACCGTTTCCACCATAAATGTCAAAGCAGTGTTTTTAGAAGAAGAAGAATTAGCTGTCAAAGCAGAAAAAGTAACTGACCAAAGTGAAAATTTCAAAGGACTGGCTACGAGCTTAAACAATTTTTTTATACAATAAATTCAATCAATGCAAAACAAAAAGAAATGAACAAAAAGCGAGCTTCGATTGCCTTTGCATCACTTTGTTTGATCGCGACTTTAAAAGCGTGGAAAAAAAATAAATGCTTGAAAAGAAATAAAAAGCAATGGTGGATTCGTCCAGGGCTCAGACACAGGGCCACCAGTGGTTTCTACTCCACACTGCGTTTTAAAATACGTCAGCAGGATCCTCAATGGTTTAAAAATTTTGTGCGAATGAGTTGTGAAGACTTTGACTACCTGGTGGAGCATCTCACACCATACATTGGCAAGAGCAATACCCGATTCAGGAAAGCAATTTCAGTCGGCGAAAGACTCGCCGTAACTTTACGGTATCTGGCTACAGGAGATAGCTTTTCAAGTTTAATGACGGTTTTTCTTATTGGTAAAACTACAATATGCCACATAGTACATGAAACATGTGCTGCTATTTTTACAGCATTGAAAGATAAGTTTTTAAAGGTGAGTATTTTGAAATTTATTTCGATCACTAGTGTGAATAAGATGGAATATGCATTCATTTATTTACATAGGTCCCAAATACCCCTGGACAATGGGCAGAAGTAGCAGATCAATTTGCAAAGCGTTGGAACTTTCCAAACTGTTGTGGTGCTTTGGACGGTAAGCACATAATGATACAGGCACCTGCTAACTGTGGCTCCGAATACTTTAATTATAAAAAATTCAATAGTATTGTTTTAATGGCTTTGGTGGACGCAGAATATAAGTTTCTTTTTGTAGAAGTTGGAGCATACGGCCGCGAATCTGATGGAGGTGTTTTCGCAAGGCAAGTTTTGGACAATATATCCCCCCATCTTATATTCATGTAATATTCATATTTATATGTGTTTTTCATTTTAGATGCAAGCTTTCAAGTGCTCTTGCTGACAACACTATTAATTTTCCACCCCGCAGACCACTACCGAATGAGGCAGATCCAATGCCATTTGTCATTATTGCAGACGATGCCTTTCCGCTGAAACCATACATTTTGAAACCATTCTCTTATCGTGAACAAGTAATGTCGCATAAAATATTTAACTAAAGATTATCACGAGCAAGAAACGTGGTTGAAAATGTGTTTGGCATATGCGCGGCACGGTTCAGGATCCTTAGACGGCCAATGGATGTTAAACCTGAGAACGCAAAGACCATCGTTCTAGCAATTTGTGTTATACATAACTTTTTAATATCAAGAAACTCATCCTATTTAACTAGAACCGACACTGACAATGAAACAAACGGAGAATTAGTGGCGGGTAATTGGCGATTAGAACTTGGACCAAACGGAAAGCTAATTTCACTTCGTGCAAGTACCACTCTGGGTAGGCCAGCAGATGATGCAATAAATGTTCGAGCTGCTTTTATGGAGTATTTTATGACACCGTATGGAGAAGTCCCATGGCAATATAATAGAACGATTATTCACAACTCATTTTAAAAGTCAGTGGCCCGTAGTCATAGTCAAAATAAAGTCGACTTTAAAGTTAGTTGCAGCTTTTTGACATAATTTTCAATGGGATATCTGTCAACAAAGCTGCAACTAACTTTAAAGTCGACTTTATTTTGACTATGACTACGGGCCAGTAACTTCGCTTAGATGAAATTTGTTAGTGTAACTCTTTGCAGTGTTATATTTACCCATATAACTAGTTTTTTAATTGATTTGCATTCTAATATTAACCAATTACCCACAGAATTGAGTACATTTTTTTTACCATATTCTCGATGTTTTTCATGATAAATCGTTTAAATTAACGAAAATGTTTATCATGAAAAATATTGTGAACATTGTAAAAAAAGTGGTATTTTTGTTTAATATTTGCAATGTTTTTCAAGTAAAATTTTTTTGTTATTTTTTTATTAAAATATCTATGGTTCAACAAATTTTCATCTAAATTTTTAACTTTTTAATCTGAATTTTCAGAAAAATGCTGGGTACGCATATAGATCGGTTAAGTTATTCTAGTGAAACAAGTGCAAGTTTTAAGCGGCGTTGATTTTTAATGAATTTATATTTCCGACGGATTTTGCGGTTTTCTGCATATAACAAGTGCAATTTATGAAATATAGCGTTAATTTAAACTTGCTTTACTAGAATTACTTATACTTTACACTTTAGAAACTTACACTTGTTTTTCTAGAATTACTTACCCGATCTGTCTGCCAGCTCAAAATTTTTCTAAAAATTCAGATTAAAAAGTTCAAAATTTAGACGAAAATTCATTGAATTTTTCTAAGGTCTGCATAAAGTTTGAAAGTTTGACTTATGTGGTTTTGACGAAAGCATGAACCATAATGTAATAAAAACATAACAAAAAAAAATTTACTTGAAAAACATTGCAAATTTTAAACAAAAAACTCCATGCTCTCACGAATTTTCATTTAAGATATACTTTGATCAACAACAGAAACAACATAAATAAGGGTTTCAAAAATTGCACAAGGTTCACAAAAATGAATCAAATTTAAAAAAAATTTAATCAAAATTTCAAACTTTTGGTTCAGAATTTTGAGAAAATTTTCGAGTTTGAAGTTTGGTTTATTTTTGTGAACTTGGTGCAATTTTTGAAACCCTTATTTATGTTGTTTCTATTGTTGATCAAACTATATCTTAAATGAAAACTCGTAAAAAGAAATAAATAAACGTAAGTGGCAAATGATATCATTTAATATAAAAAAGCTGAAGTTGAATATTGTCTAAGACATACAATACAGAATGATTTCAAAACTATTTTGAAAAGAATTTAACTAACAAAAAAAACCAATTTCATTTTACATACTTACACATAAATATCCTTATCATTCATATGTTTAAAAAGAAAATGAATTCAATTAAAAATTTGTACTTTTAATTACACATAAGAAATTGATTTAATTCAAAAGGCACATGAAGAAAATTCATCAAGATTTCTTAAAGTTAAAACTTGGGAAAAAATAAAAAAAATTGATTAAATTAAAATGGCACACGAAGAAAATTCACTAAAATGTCTTAAATATATTTATTGTTGTTTTGAGATCATTGCCAGTAATTCGAGTATTCGAGCAAACTCCTTCTGGTAGTTTAGTACAACCTCATTAATTGCAATCTTAAAACGTTTTGACAACTGAATGTTTTCGGCTGCGAATTCACGGCCATTTGATGCCACGAAATTGCCCATATCATCCCAAGGATCGCTTTTTGCAGCAGAATTCATCGTTTGCAAAGCGCTCTCAACAACCTTTGCATACTCGGAATCTTCTTGTCGTTGGCGCTTTGTCGAGGCTTTTGCTGACTTAGGTTGCACGATTTCTTCTTCGAGAAATTCAGGGTCATAAAGGGATTGCTCTTGCGAAGGTTCATTTATCTTTAAAGTAAAGAAGTTAATAAAATATAATTAAGATTATGTTTACTTCGTAACTAAACTTACATCTATTAAATTTGATGTTGTGGATGCCTCAACACGCAAAGTGGGCTCCAGAAATTTTAAAGCATTGTAAAACGGGTTTGAAGAAACCGTCTTTGTAGCACCCTGTCCGCTCTTACTCGCTCCTATCCTGTTAAACGATGCCTAGATTTGCATAAAATTTAATTAAAACTAATGTCATAAAAACCATAGAAAACGTACGCGGAAACCACAACGCAGGCTATTCCACTTTGTTGTAACTTCTGCTCGTGGTAACTCCAATACGTCGGCCACCTCTTGCCACAGAGCTTCTCTAAGGTTTCGGTCCCTGTACTCTTTGACCAAATAGTTCCAGGTGCCTTCCCTGATCTCGACTGCCTCAATAAGCTTCATGGTTTCTTGGTTCGTCCACTGATGCTGCAACTTCCGCACTCTTTTTTTACTTGTGACTTCACTGGGGCTTGATAATATAGGCTCCAATTCCAATGTCTCTATTTCCATCTTAATCTAAATATAAATAACAATTTAAAAACTAAATAAAGATCTTTTTAAGTTCGTACCATTGTTTCTTTCTTTTATGTTACTTCCCGCTCAAAAATCAGCTGTTTCTTTGTCGAATTTGCCAACATGTTGGCAAATGGATTTTTAATGTCAAATGTTGCCATATCAGTAAATTTCCGAAAATGTGACATACGTAAATTTCCTCGCATGACAACCTGTTCTCATTTAATTGACTGCAAATGCCACTTATTTTGACCTAATGAAAACCAAGCTTAATATTTTCTTCGTTTTTTACTTGCCTCATATAATTTGGGTATGGTTAAAATCAGCGCGAAAAGTTCTCTCGATCTGCATTTTTGGGGTTTTTGTTGCTAAACGGTCCGTATTGTATCTAGAATCAGCTGTACGCATGGCAAATGAAATCGAAATTGCCAACATGTTGGCAAATACACTTTGGTTGTCAAATGCTGGCACATCAGCGGCGAGGGCCGTTTTCATTTGGATGTCGTTTTATATGACCGTGCGTGGTGATATATGACAACAAACGCAACTGACATCAGATGACATTATATTATTATATTCATTATTTTGACAATATTTGACGTCAAATGTGACCTAATGAAAACCAGGCTTTATAGGTTTGTATAGTAACTTCTCCAGTAAAACATTGCAGCGAGAGCGTAAAAGCAAAATAGAGCGTAAAATTGATAACAAGAGAAAACTACCAGAAAAAGTTATTGAACGCAAAACTAGTAAAAATTTGCAAGTGAATAGTTGTTGTACCCTTTTCATATTCTGCTGTAAACATTTTACTATTTATAAATCAGTTTTAAACTCTTTGCTTTACACACAAGCACTTACACAGTCTAGTACATCATTAATATTTTGATTTCCACTCATTTTACTTTTGTTTGTGCTAAAGCAATCCAACATATGGCGGCTTTTGACATTTATTCTTCTTCTTCTTCTGCTAGCTAATTTCTGCTAGTAAAAGTTTCACTAGCATGAATATGCAGTTCTCCCGTGTTGTTACGCTCTCGATTCAGTGCTCTCTTGCAAATTGTTTGGTTTATCATACACTTTTCCAGTAAAAATTTGCAGGTTCCAGTACAAATTAGTACTGACTATTAAAACTTAAAAGATATTTCTTCTAAAAATTAAATCATCTAATGATATATTGGCGATCCTGCAATTTTAAAACCTGAAGAAGCTCAAAACTAGAAGAACAGCAATTTTAATGAAATAAATAGCTCAAGATTAGAAGATCAGCCAAGCTACATATTTATCACAGGGTTATAATATATTAAATAAACAAAATATGTATTTATCTATTTGGACGTGTAGCATATGCAGCATCTAATTTGATCACAAATTATTTCAACAAAAGCATAATCTTGCTTACTGAGAAGAATTTAATACAGCCAATACCTATTATCTGCAGTAGCACAAGCCTTATCTTCAACAAGCAACATCATTATCTAGCAACAGCATTATCTTTCACAACAGCGTGAACATTATTAACAGCTAGCGGTCTCTCAATCAACGAAGATATAAATTAACAGAATTGCTTAAACAATCCACAACAGATTAGACATTTTAAGCTGGTGTAAATGACCTTTTCCAATTATGATTTCAGTTCTCTCACATTTCCCCTAATTTCATGGAATAATCCTGTAAGTTTTAGTACGAAGTTTTTAATTAAGTACGATAACGAACCTTCACAGTGAAAAATAATAATTAAATCATTGACTGCTACTTTTATTGAATTAAAATTTTCTATAAAATTGTTTATATATTATTAGTTATACAATCAACATTTTAACACGTAATATATTTACATATATATATATTAGGGTGGCCCTTATTTTTAAAAGTAAAAAATATTTAGCTCCCAATCTTTAATTTTATTTGAATAGCTAAAAAAATCATATGTGCAAAATTTTGGAATGATCGGACAAGCTTTAGGCGACCCTCATCGACCTTGAAGTTTTCACATATATTACGTATGTATGTAGGTACTGTAAAGTTCTGAACACATTGAAAACGACGAGCTACGGACCACAGCTTCCAATTTGTCATCTTCATTATCTAAATGCATTGTCGATGGCGACATGATTTATTTGAAAGCGGCAGCGACATCATAAATTTGTATGAGTTTGACATAAAAGAAGAGGAAGAACGTTATCTGTCGCCAGAAAAATAGAAATAGATCTAATCTGGCCACAACCACAGCCGTCGCGTAGCCCAGTCGTCGCCAAAATAATTATCTACATAAGAGTACGTGTTAAAATAATTTGACAGCTGTGGTTTGTAGCTCGTCGTTTTCATTGTGTTCGGGCTATAATGCGATCAAGCATTCATGTTGCAACCCTACAAATCACCTTATATGAATTTGCCTAAGCTAATAGATTACAAATATAAATTTACGATATTGATGCAACCCTGTTGTGAACATAAAATTAGCGGCATTATTCCGCGCACCCTCAAAAAGAACAGTCAAGTCTTGTTTTAATTTTATATTTGGGTAATTGCCGGCCACCAGCGTTGGCCGGCAACAGAGCCGGTGGAGCACCAGGGCTCCGCGTGAAGTTAAGCGCCAGCAATTGCAGCAGCACTGCCTAATACGGCAGCACCGAGGGAACGCTAGGGCTCCATGCAAGAGCGAGCGTTGGCCGGCAACAGAGCCGGAGGAGCGCTAGGGCTCCACATCTTTACCGAGTGAGTGCAGGGGAACAAACAAATTAATTACAACCTCGACAGCAGGGGAACAAACAAATTAATTACAACCTCGACATGGCGACCGTGGGTCCGTCCCATTAAACGGCGGCCACCTACACATAACTAAAAGTTAAAACATGGGAAAAATTAAAATACAAAAAAAAAAGCGTGAAATGAACTGAACTTAATTTCGAGACCAAAAATCATTACCAACAACTATACGGTGGCGGTTAACTAAATCAAAAACTTTGAAAATTATTACAAAAACACAAAATAAATAAATCTAAAAACTACAAAAATCCAAAAAAAAAGGTTAAAATACAAAAAATAAGAAAACATACAAACATAAATGTGCATATAAATGTGTAAAAAAATAAAAAAAATAAAAAATGTGGCGGTTATAATTAGCTAAAATTATAAAAAAAAAAACAAAAACAAAAAAAAATATAAAACATTCAAAAACCAAAAAAAAGCGGTCGTACCAAATTTAAAAAAAAAAAACTAAACTTTACAAAAGTGGTAGAAAACACATGAGTGGCAAAAGAACAATAAAACCAAAAACAAAACTATAAAACTGCGACCGTCTGTACCACCAGTCCTAAGCGTTCGCAAAGAGTTCATCGTCGTCAAAACAAAAAAATTGTTTCTGAACTTCTTCATCAAAGTGATGCTTCTGTATCACAAGAAGGTAATAAGTGTTACTAGTTGTTCAAGATGATATTTACCTAAGTAGAAATTTCAGTTGAATGTATTTGCGTTGAAGCGGTCGAGGATGCTGGTAAAGATACCAACCTTTCGCAGGCGTTTGAGGAGGAGAATGAGGAAAATTGTGCTCTTGCAGCCAATAGTATTGCTGATGCATCAGCGTTACAAATCAGCCTTGCAAATCGGTCCTCTTCAGTACAAGAAATGGAAGATTTGCAAGCAAAATGGTAAGTCGATTCTCATTAATTTTTTAATTTAAATTATTTAATGTGATGTATATAACCTATTTAGTGAAGCGTTACAAAAAGAAAACGCATCTCTTCGAAAAGAGAACAAAAAGCTCCGAAGTGAAGTCACGGCACTAAATCGAAGTCATTGGTTGAAGGACAAGAAGCACGATTACAACATGAATGTGGCAAAAAAGCGTGTGCGGATAGCGGAACATTTCTGCAAAAATATGGAACAAAAGTTGGAAGGGATTTTTACAAAAGGCCAAATAGCGAAGTTGAAGAATGGCGTTAAAAGACCACTTTGGAGCGAGAAAGATATAGCCCAATCGATTACTCTGTACGCTGCTGGTGCGAAATCGTACAAGCTTATGTACAAGAAGGGCTTTCCCCTTCCTGGAGTCAGAACATTGCAGACATGGTCAAAAAAAATGATGTTTCCCGAGGATTGTTAGAGCCAGTATTCAAATTAATGGCAGCATGTACGCATATGACTGAAAGACAAAAGCTGTCTGTGTTGTGCTTCGATGAAATGAAAATAAGAAAGACGTACTGCTATGATGCTTCATCTGATTCGACGCTAGCTCCAGCCAGTTATGTTCAAGTAGCGATGCTAAGAGGTACATACATACATACTTGTAAAAGCATTTCATAATACGAAATCTATGTACAATTTTATATATAATTTTCCCCATTAGGCTTAGTATCCAACTGGAAACAGCCAATTTTTTATGATTACGACTGCAGGATGACCAATCACATATTACAAAGCATTTTGCGAACGACGAAAAAATGTGGCTACAATGTTCTCGCTGTTGTATGTGATCTCGGAGGCAGCAATAGAGCTTTGTTCAACGACTTGGGTGTGCACAAAGATAATCCGTGGTTAGTAAAATGTTTCATTTCTTTATTTACACATACTAAACCAAGATATTTTTGCAGCTTTACCTTCGAAGACGAAGAAATTTTTGTGTTCGCGGACGTTCCGCATTTAATTAAACTATTAAGAAACCATTTCTTTGACCACGGATATGTCATTGATGGGAAAATAGTCAAAAAGGACATAATATTAAAGCTGATGTCATGCACCTCAAAAGACCTAAGCATCACACATAAGATCACCGCTAGCCATCTCAACGTATCTGGACCGCATAGGCAAAAAGTCAAAACGGCCACAAAGCTGTTTTCGCATACGATAGCGCAAGCAATCACAAGAGCTGCAAGCTTGGGGCACTTGAGTGGGCACAACTGGCAGGAATGCTTCCAATTTTTTAAAAAGGTAAAAGTTCTACACCTAATATAAGCAATCATATATCTGTGTAATAATCTCTTATACTTTTTAGACGAATGATTGGTTTGACGTGATGAACGTCAGGGTGCCTCATGCTGATTCTAGGGTGCGGCGTCACGGGTATGGTCTTGCAGTCGATGTTCAAAACCAAATATTGGACGAAATGTCAGAACTGGTGGGGAATATGAGAGTCGTTGGAAAAAATGCGCTATTACCGTTTCAAAATGGTATATAACAG